TTTTTTGATAAAAATGAAAGTTATGTATTTGTTGAATTTAGGAGTACTAGACTTCTTGGTTATTGACCATAAATTTGATACCATTTGAAACCATAAATTTGATGTTACTGTAGTAACATCTAACTTGGTTTTAAAATATGAGTATTGAACCTATAATTGTTCAGCTTGCAAATAAGGGTAATGTAGTAAAGACCATCATCCATCCCCTGATGAAAAATAATGTCACATGGTCCATTATCTAGCTTTCAGAGCAAGTATTCTTAAAATTATTTCCCTGCTATTTTGGTTAGAAACGTTTTTAAAAAGGAACGGATTTTCCTGGCTTAAGTAACTTTGTTACCTGAGACAACTGTCTTTTTTCAGTGTTTATTTTATAAGGGTATGTTACTGTTTTTAATAAGTTTTTAAAAGATTAATATTTTAGAGGGAGCATGATAATTTTACCTATACCATAAAAGTATATTCTGAAATCTGTGGCATTAAGATTGAGAAGTCACTTTTAAATATAGATTTTAATGTCTAGAATCATTCTTCCCTAATACAGTGTTTTTTTAAGCAAGTTAATTTCAATATTAGGTACCTAAGTTGATCCCTGTGGTTTTACACAGGTAGCATTTGGTATACATATTTTAGTATTTATACATACATACGTGTAGTTACTAGTTTACTGCAATTATTAGCCTGATAATAATAAGACATTCAGTTGAGTTCAGTTCAGTTCAGTTGCTCAGTCAGACATTGGAAGTATAAATAATACTCATTTGATCTACCATGATGCTTATTTGCCTATTAATAGTTAAAATGTTGCTAATGATGATATAGTACTCATTTGTATTCTTACTGGCATTTTAATACTTTCCCCTTTCTTACAATATAATATTCATGGGGGAAACTTTGAAAATACAGGGAAAAGAAAATAGTTTGAAGGGAAAAAAAAACCCATTATTTAAAACCATTACTTTGAATGCTGTGTTTGTCTCTTGTCTTTTGCCTCTGTTTTCTGACTCTCTTGTGTCTGTAAGTATGGATGTTCGTATGAAAAAACACAAATTGAAAACCGTCTAATAGAAAATACTGCTAAATATTTTCTCCTGAACTCAGAATGAATAGTCTTTATGATAACTTTGAAACAAAAAGAAACTATTAAAAATATGGACCCATTTGATTTCATTTTTTTCAAAATGCAGAATTAACAAGCAGGCTAGGAAAAAGACTTTTTTACTAAATCAGTTTCAATTTTCATTATCCTTTCTTAGCAGTTAGGACTGGATTATACCTATACTTTACCTTTTCTCTTGGTTTGTAGTTTTGTTTTAGCAAAGAATGTTCTTGAATTTTTGGCAGGAAAAAAATACCATAAGACGAAGTTTTTTCTTGTCTGTTATTTTACTGATTATTCTTTAAGGACATTAGAAAAATCATTGACCATCTATAGGTCAAAACTCCATTTTAGCTTTTACTTTCAACCAATTTTGCCTCTAAAACCTGGACCAAAACTATTACCAAGTAAAATATTTTTTACTTGATATTTTATCAGTAGGGACCAGTGAAATAAGCAGAAAATGGGGAATAAAGAGGAGGGCCAAAATGAACACTAATTATTTACAAATTGAATAATCAGACCTTAGTTGAATATTGACTGTGTTCATATAGCCATAGAAGTGTATGTAGAGGACTTGAGGGTGCAACTTTTAGTAGTTGGCATTGAAAATCCAGTGATTGAGTGTAGTGCTGGGTTGTTCAGAGTTAAGTACTCCTCTTGAGGATTGGTAGTCAGTCTTGTATCTATTGCTGGGATGTTATAAGGAGCAAATGTGAAAGTGTGTAAGTGGTTTGATTGCAGTTGTGGGTTTTATCCTTACAAAAAAGCAGTAGTTCTGTATTGCTTTAAGGTAAAAATCTTCAGCACATGAGCAGCAGCTTATGTTCTTCACTCTGGTCATTCCCTGGTAATTTCCTGTAATTTTGTTTGCAAAGCGGATCCTCAACCTTTGTCTGAATTTTCTGTATTTTAAAAAACTGATGAGAGATCCCCCTCTAGTGTCTGAATTATCCATTCTTAAAACATTTGTGTCAGTCATAAAAAGTTTTAGGAATTAAGCTAGCTGTGTTTTCCTTTCACATCTGGGCATGATTTTTTTTTTTTAAACTTTTCATTTATGGGAGAAAGCGGGGAGTTATTCTCCTTTCTTAAAAAGGTCACTAGAATTATGGGCAGGGTGTGGATTGGGGGCAATAGAAAACATGGGACGGGAAGGATCAAAATGCTATTTTTACCTTTTTAGAAATAATTATTTTTAAGTAATCTGGAATAAGGTCAAACTATACAGTGTTGTTTTGTTTTAGTTTACTTTTGTTCCTGAATTAAGTGCAGCTTTAAAATACTTCATTTTGGAATTCCTGATGCTATTAGATCTCATCCTGAGTGGTTTCAGTTTCTGGAAAGCAATGGTTTTCATTGGAAAATGTTTTCAAAACAGAGCCTGATACTTTTCGGGGAGTTTTCTAAGTTTGTTACCTTTTGTTACTATTGTTGCCCTAGTTTTTCATATTGTTGCCATTTTATATTGTGAGTGTGTTCTAATGGCAAGTTGTCCTTTTACATAGTTCCCATTGTTTTTCAACCAAGGAAATAGGAGATTCTTAAGCTATTGGCTCTCTGCCACCTCTTCCTCTTAAACACACAGCGCTCACACACACAGGCCTTCAGTTAAGGATCTTGTGAAGGGTTAGGGAAACAGGACCTTTCTCATTTGACCCATGGGCTTTTGTAACTTGAACAAGGAAAGTAGTGTTCTGAAAGCTGCAGCATTTATGAAGGCTCTTGTAAAAATATTTCATGTACATGGACTAGAGATTAACTCTTTTCATCTCGTTCTTCAACAAATTAAACAGTGCAAACAATTTCAAGTGCTTTCTTGGTCATGAAATGCTTGAATGAATTATAATCCTAATTGCTATTGTTCATTCCCACAGTGCATTTTGACACTATTAACTGCCTAACCCATGCATTCTTCAACCAGTAAGATAAACAAAAGCATTTTGAAATCTGTTATTTTGTGTCAGCTTAAATTGCAGATATGCCATTGGCTGCCTTGATTTTATTTTGGTTTCACTGTTAGCACAAATTAGGAAAAAAGTTATCTCTTTATATTTATACATAAAATTGCCAACAGAATGATTACTGGGTTTTTATAAAAATCCATTCATTAATAGTCTTAAATTTTAAAGAGGCAATAGAGACCATGGATTTATTTTAGTGCTAGGGAAATAATTTGTATTTATGTTATCAAACCAGTGTAGCTTTCTCTGAGATTTGAAAGAAAGTAATAAAATTTCACTTTTCTACCTTAATAGGACTGAATTCTGAATGTAAACCTAGAAGCCAGATTAGTTTTGTGATTTGGCAAGTCATTTATGCATAATGGTTCCTTTAAGATTTGAACTAATACTGTTTATTAATTGAAGTATTTGTAATAAATTTGAAGTTTATATGCGAGAGATTTGAGTGCCAGTTATTAACAAACCTTCCTTACTTAAAACATAGAACTTTTTTGATAACTGAAAAACCATATAACAAAAGTGGGGTAGATATAACTAATGTCATCGTCACATCATGTTTAGTTGTTCAGTCGTGTCTGACTCTGTGACCCCGTGGACTGTAGCCCACCAGGCCCCTCTGTCATGGGAATCGTTTCTCCAAGGCAGGAATACTGGAGTGGGTAGCCATTCCCTTCTCCAGGGAATCTTCCCAACCCAGGGATTGAACTAGGGTCTCCTGCATCACAGGCAGCTTCTTTACTGTCCTAGCCACCAGGGAAACCCATAACAGTTAGCAAATTCTCACTTTTTGACTATTGCTAAAACTCAATTTTAAGTGGACGATTTGAATTACCAAATTCACAGGCATCTGTTAAAATAATTTTTTTTCTGTAATAATTGGAGCTCTCTGTGTCAAATGAGCACTACTACAGTATGTCACATTCTCAAAGTATTTATTCCTCAGAATGTCTTTGAATTCTTAAATCCATATAAGCATGAGAAATTCTTTTTTAACAACCAGATGTTTTGCCATCTCACATCTTAATTGTAAGGTGCTTTTTTTCAATATTAGTTCTTATAAAAATATTACTTAATATTTTAAAATTCCAATAGGGGATATTTGCTAGACACTGTATCATGGTATACCATTTGATATGTTACTCTTTGAGGTAGTAAATAGTATTCCTCCTTATTCCCATCTTTACGTTTAAGGAAACAATAATAGAAGTAAAACAATTTTGCTAAAGATCACAAAATAATTGTAGTCAGATCTCTCTGACTCCTAGAAAATGTTTTAGACCACTGATGAAGTCTTAAGTGAAAGTTAAATACATTGTCATACAATCTTCTGATGGAATATTATGTAGCCATTAAAAGTAAGGGTTACAGTGACATAGTATAGTGACATAGAAAATGTATGTGGTACAGTAAATGAAAAAAGGCAAGGATTACAGTTAAAATTCATAGTGATTCTAGACATCTTTAGTGTTATGTTTGATTTTTTATTGTGTTTTAATTTAAATACAGTATAAATAACATTCAGCTTTATATAATTTTGCTCTGTAACTTAAAGAATTTCTGTAAACAGGGAACCTAAGACTGAATGTAAACCAGGTCTGGTCAGCAAACTGACAAGTTAGTTTTATAATAGACTTTAGCATGTTCAATTTCCTTTTTAATTTGACCTAAAGCCATTTTCTACTGGACTTATGCCAGCTCTAATGTAATCTCTCATTTATATTCTTAAAGGCTAATGGAATAGTAAAATCTTCCTAAAGATGACTTAAATGTGTTATATAGTGTCCTAAGGGTAGCTTGTGCACAAAAGATGTTTTCTTTCCCACCCTGTAGAGGTATCTCATTAGGACATCCAGTAGTGTCATTATTAAGTTTTCATGTGTTTCTCAGTTTTGATGCTAATCTTTGTGTGTATGTGCGTGCATTTTTTTTGTCTTCAGCACCAATGTGGTTATGAATTATTCAGAGATCGAGTCTAAGGTTCGAGAAGCAACGAATGACGATCCTTGGGGACCTTCTGGGCAACTCATGGGAGAGATTGCCAAGTAAGTGATAATTTGACTCAGCAGTGCAGAAAGAATGCAACTATCTTTACCCAGAAATGTGAAATTTGCTTTCAGTTTTAAACTGTTCAACTGTCAGATATAATAAATTTTGCATATAAATCATTCAGATATCAGTGCAGGAAATTTTATATGAGGATCCATTCCTCCTAAATATTAGCTCAATAAAGTAAAACAAAATTTTTCCTTTTCAATGAAGTTTAGAGACTTTCTGTAGCTTAACTGTGTAAAATTTTGACAAATGCATATAAAATGACTTAAAACTATGAAAATTTTTTCCTGATAAACATCTAGCTGACTATGCCACTGAATGAAGGGCTTATGAAATAGATATTAATTAGTGGGATTTAACATGCTATATACTATATAAAACAGACATTTTTAAGGTACCATATCTACATTTTTTTTTGAATTAACCTTATTTTTTAAAGCTCTTTAGGAAAATACAATAACTTAGAACAAGCCTGCCATCTACTGTCAAAATCAACATACTACAAACTCTTGAGGAAAACTATTCTTTTTTCAGGGCTACCTTTATGTATGAACAATTTCCAGAACTTATGAACATGCTTTGGTCACGAATGTTAAAAGACAACAAAAAAAATTGGAGAAGAGTTTATAAGGTATGGGTATTAGTCTGTATTTATTACTTGACATGTAAAACACATGAAATTTTAAAGTGTACATACATAAGTGATTATGATGGACATTGAATCCTAGAATAGAATATTCTGAAACAGATAAAAAATTGATTTGGTATTTGAGTTGTGTTTTTTAGTCACCATAAACAGCTGTTCATATATTTGTGCATATCGAAAGTAATGAATCTATTGTAGTATCTATGTTTAGTGTTTGAGCATTTAAGATAAAAAAACCACCCTCTAATATCATTTGTCATCTCTACATAAAAATTTTCCAGTAATATTAAAGTATTGTGCACCAGAAATGTGTTATTTTTAAATATAATAAATTCTAAATCATTAAAATTCTAACATTTTAAGACTTGCAGATATGTACTCTTCTCTTAGATTCCTTTCATTTAATTCTGATCTCATCATATAGTGTAGAATTCTAAACAAGATAGTAATCGGTTCTGCCACCTCCACTATATTTTCTTGCTGCTTGGAAAGTTTTTTATGCTTTCCAAAATATCATTATAATATTCATATATGAAACTTTAAAAGTAACATTTCTAGCTTTCAGCGTTAAAAATTAGTGGCTTTATTTAGTTCCATGTTTTTGATGTTATTTGTTTCTGAAAACATTAACTGTCATTTCTTTAGCTTGTACAGTAGTAGTGATGAAATAGTTTAAATTCGTATAAATTAATTTTTTATAATTAGAGGGTTTTGTTTTAATAATTCTAGAGTAAACTACTTATTTAGAGAATAAATTCCTGGTCAGATAAGGGTTTTTTGTCCCTCAATTCTCCAGCCTAACTAGATTTTTGTAGGTCTAATCATTTTTATGTGAGGTTTGTTCCAAAGTTCAGAATTCATAATTCAGTGATTTTTAGTGCATTCACAAAGTTGTGCATTGTTACTAGTGTCTAAATCAGAACATTTTTCATCACCTCAAAAAGAAGTTCTTAATGTTTTTTTCTCATATTTGTCAGCAGCAAGTTTTTTAAACAAAAGCCACATCACAAACCTCCCAAGTTAAATTTTATCTGGAAAAGTGCTGTGAGATCATATAATTACCAAATAATTATTTTCTTAAAACTAATGTTTCTAACAGTAAAACTGAATCAGCTTTCTGAAAGCTTAGTGTTCATTTATATCATACATTCAGATATTTCCTAACATCTAATTTTTTAAATCTTTTGACACATGTATCCAGTGGACAGTTTATAATTATTTATTATGCTCGGTGTAAGGAACTCTCAATTGAAAATATGAGGTTTTAAATGTACTTAAAGTCTAATGTACGGTAAAGAATGCCCTCTCCCCCTCCGCCACACACACACACACACACACACACACATTATTTGCTGTTAGTATTTTTTTTTAAGCTATTTACCAGAGCTCTACCAGAATTTATTTCGTTAAATCATTTGGTGCTTTGTATTTTTACAGTCATTGCTGCTCCTAGCTTACCTCATAAGGAATGGATCAGAGCGTGTTGTTACAAGTGCCAGAGAACACATTTATGATTTGCGATCCCTGGAAAATTACCACTTTGTAGGTGAGCAATAGAAAAACCTTATAAGCAAATTAAAACAGTAGTTGGAGTTGTCAGTCACCTGAACCAGCTTAGAAGCTTCTCTGCTCTAATTAGAATGTGACTGTTGCTGGTTGTGTGACGAGTGCAGAATCCAAGACGTGGGGCCCTAGAGTATTAATTAGTGAAGACAAGAACTTGCAGAAAAGACTGGCTAATAACAACAGAACCAACACAACATGAGTGTTCGGGTTTATATTAAAATATGCACTGGAGACTGGTCCCCTGTGGTGTCCATAAAGGAATAGCTTTAATCATATGGGAAGAAAAGGTTAGAGCTCCAAAACACACACATCTGTTTGAAGCTGGGGTTTTTTTCCTCCCACCAAATAATATTTACTGTGCAAAGGCAGCAGGGCCAGAGTGTGTTCTGAATGTGAAAGAGGACACAGAATGAACCACATTTCATTTTGTAGTGTACCCCAGTTGAAAGCATTTTAAAATTTCAGTTTTTCAGCTATACTAAATCCTGGTAATTAGTGTTTCCAAACTTGTATTGGGGAGAGGAAGGCATTTAGGTGCTTTTCAGTCATTAAAATGTAGATTTTGTTTTGTTAAAATACTATAGAAAGAGAAAATAACATTTTTGGATATTAGTCCATTTTTGCATGGTTATTGTTAGTAATCAATGGATCTTTAATTGATTTTGCATAGCACCATTATCTGTGGTCCTTTTTAGTTCATTTCTCTTATAAGCCAGAATTGCATCTCAAGACTTAGGATTTGATGAGGAAATGACAAAATTCAGTGACACAGTTTGCTTCTTTTTATTAATTTAAAAATATTGAAGGTGGTTTGTTACGTTGAAATTTTCATGTCTTTGTGTGTGTTAAAAAGTTTAATACATATTAACTGAATTCTTAAGGTTTTGTTTCTCCCTTACCATCCTCACAGATGAGCATGGCAAGGATCAAGGTATAAATATTCGCCAGAAGGTGAAAGAATTGGTTGAATTTGCCCAGGATGATGACAGGCTTCGTGAAGAGCGAAAGAAAGCCAAGAAGAACAAAGACAAATATGTTGGGGTTTCCTCAGACAGTGTTGGAGGATTCAGATACAGTGAGTATCAAAGACAGATGAGCACCTGAACATCAGTTTAGCTTCTTGGGTATATTTTAAGAATCACAGAAGACAAAAATGCTATTTAGAATATATATGATACTAAGACATATGTAATATTCATTTTGTTTTCCTTTGGATCCTGTGAATCTATTTTTTTACTTTTGTGGTTCAAGAATATTATTTTAATTATTAAACATTATTAAATGACCAAACTTTGAGTTGACATACAAAGAATAAAATAGATATATGTCCTTTCCTCTTGGAGTTCACATTCTAAGAAGAAATGGATTCCGCTAACTTAACCATTTAGAGCATTAAAAAGAAGTTTGATCAGGAGATTCATTCTGCTAATTTGAAACCAGTTTAGTTATATTTTTGGTTAAAAATAGAGCTGCAAGTTAGTCCATCCTTAATTCCCTTCCTTAATTAAGCACTGTGTTAATTTGATGTGGAAAAAGGTAACAGTACCATCAGTTTTTCATCTAGGCCTGTCACATATATGTTCTTAATGTATTTAAGGACAGCTGGAACATTCATCTCTCATGTTTATTTTTAATGTATAATATAGTTTTCTTAAAATGGGTCACTAGGTAGGTGCTTGAAACAGATACAGAAAGTAAGAACTTTGTTTCACAGCATGTTCTTTGGACTGGTTCTGTCTTCTGAGTGCTGAGAGTCCCTTGCCATTTTGTGTAAGGGACTGACCAGTGCTTTGTATCCTTAGCAGCTGCATATTGGAACTCTTTAACCACCTACAACCATAGCTGTTTTTTATATTTGAATTTCACTGAAATCTCGTGATTCTTCATTGTAAACATGTAAAAATCTTCTGTTTCTTACTTTGTGAGTATCTACAAAATATCTTCACTCTTTTGCTCCTCTGCTTTTCTTGCCATTAAAGAAAAAGTACTGCACTTAATAGGCTAATGTTTCTAATGGCAGAAAAATTCATTTTATGTCTGATATCACATGTCAGTTCTTGAATTGGCAAAAATGTTTCTCTTAAATAAATCACATAAATATGTTTTGGAGTTCTTGTTTAGGGAAGTAAGAAGTCTTAATTTTTTACCCACATATTCAGTAGATACTCTAGATTTTTCAAGGTGGCTTAAGCAGATCAATGTGGTTTTTAGCTGAAATAGCTATTTGCCACTCATTTCCTCATTCTGCTTGCTAGTAGTCCTTTTTTAAATCAGCACCATATATAATTAGATGCATTTAGACAATTGAAAAAGTTTTTAGACTTCAGAGTGAACTAATTACAGCATTTGCGTTAGAGATAGAATTCAGAGTCCTGTGTATCTGCATAGCTTCTTTTGTAAGTTGTTTTTAATGCTATATGTATTATTCAGAGACTTAAGTAGTCAACTTTAATTATTTTACATGGTTTTCATTTTGACATTAGAAAATGTCTTACCAATATGCAGTCTCTTTGACACTTCCTTAGTATGATGCTTACCATGCTAATCAGTTTAGTTTTCATGTGCTTTTTTTCATTTTTTCCTGTAAACTTGTTTTTTTCAATGCCTGGTTTATCACATTGTTACTGAAGTGTACATATACATTGTTGGAAAAGCTATTCGCTTTTATAATACCATCCTGACTTAACTTTTGTTTAGAAAACATTTTGTCATGTTCTCTTTAAGTTGGTGATCACTTTCAGATTTAGTAGACATATTTTTAAATCCTCAAACTCTTACAGAAAATTTTGCTCTGTAGTTTTACTTAGTAATTCAACAAAATGGTTTTGTTCAGTCTCCAGTGGGCGTGTATGCCATTCAAACTTACTAAGCAACTTTTAAAATAAAAGCTCAATTATCCACTTTTGGATTATTTTGCTGTTTCTCATTGGTCTTTCCTTTTTCTCTGCACCCTACCTTAGTTTTCAGTCTTTTCTTCTTTTTAGCCTCATGTGATTTCTCCAACATTTTACTCTTGGCTCTTAAGTTTGGACATGGAAATGGAAAAGGTTCCAGTTAGTGCCTACAATTCCTATCTCTCCTCTAGGCCGTCAAGGACAAGGACTGAAACAGATTTGGGGGCTTTTTTCTGCTGCCAGTGATCTCCTGACTCAATTCACAAATTCACACAGAGGCTCCCTAGGTTTTGCCAGTCCCAACATATGTTTGGACTTGGTGTTTGAATAGATCATCACTGTTCTGAACCGCTTGAGCATATTTCATCATTCTAGTCTGTATAGTTTTTGGTAGTTAGAATATTCTTTTCTTTTTAAAATAATTGAAAGGTGCTTTCCCAGGCGATGAAATACATTTATTTTTCTAGTTTGATAGTAAAGAATGACAGTTATGAGTCTTTATATTGAGATATGTAGCATTCAGAATAGTGTTTCCTATAGTTTGTGTCTTTTAAGAGATTGTTGCTGTCCATATACTTTTCTAATAATTGAAAAACCATTAAGAGATGAGAATGAAATATAATGCAATAAGTGACTTCTGTAAAAATAAAAAGATTTCAAGACTTCCCAGGCAGTCCAGTGGTTAAGACTCTGCCCTTCCATGGCAGGAGTGCAGGTTCCATCCCTGGTCAGGGAACTAAGATCCCACATGCCTCATGGCCAAACAAACAGAAAACCCCACAAAACCACATAGAAACAAAAAGATTTCCATTTCTCTTTTGCTTATACAGCCTGTGTTGGTTTTTGTATTTTCTTCTACTCCTTTCAGCAGCCCTTAAGAACTTCCGGATATGCTGTGCTTTGCATTAAGGTTGTGTAAGTTTTCATAAACAAAAGCTTTTGAATCTGCATTCCTGCCACTTAATGACTGGCACTACATGCTGTGCCTTGCTGTAATTGTGTTGATTCAGCACTGTGGGAGCTTTCTGTTTTCCTTTGGAAACTTATTTTATTATGAGGAAAGCTTCAGAAATAAGGACTATAGACCCCTTTTGAATTTAATGTCCTTAGAATCACTTCTCTTTTTAATGCTTTACATAGGTGAAAGATACGATCCTGAGCCCAAATCAAAATGGGACGAGGAGTGGGATAAAAACAAGAGTGCTTTTCCATTCAGTGATAAATTAGGTGAACTGAGTGATAAAATTGGAAGCACAATTGATGACACCATCAGCAAGTTCCGGAGGAAAGATAGAGAAGACTCTCCAGAAAGATGCAGGTATTAACACTTTGTCTCCTGGGTCTCTCAGAAAGGGTACTAAATTTATGCAGTTGGGTCTTGGGTTTTTTTGTTTGAGTGTTGACATTATCTGAAATTCAGCTTTTGTTGTTTGTTTATTTAATGGATTTTATTTTTTAGAGTACTTTTAGTTTCATAGAAAAATTGTGCCTAAACTACAGGGAGCTGCCACATAACCCCACCTCTCTGAGTACAAGCGTGCGCTCACACACACACACACTTTCTCCTGTTACTAACATCTTGCATTCGTCTGTACATTTATGAACAATTGATAACCAGTATTGTTAACTAAACTCTTGAGTTTGCATTAGGGTTCACTGTGTTGTACAGTTGACAAATGCATAGTATCCACCATTACAGAACCACGTAGAGTAGTTTCACTCCCGTAAAAGTGCCTGTGTGAAAATATGGAATAGTTTGTGAACTGTTGCCCTTGCACAGGGACACACTAGGCTAGTTCCCCAAGCAAGGACTGAACCCGGGCCGTGGCAGCGAAAGTGCCGAGTCCTGACCACTGGATGACCAGGCAGTTCCCAGGGCGTGCAGATTTTCTCTGTTGTTCCAGTTTCCATATATGCTGACTTATGCATATATTGTGTGTGTGTGTACATATAGACACAGTGTAGCTGTTTGTAAGATGCTAGATCAGACATTGTTTGCACTTGGTATTGGCACATTTTCCTTCTCTATGTCCATTTATTTCTAAATTTGATCACATTTCCTATGTTTTTATTCAGGCTATTTAATTGGATTTTTTTTTCCAGTAAGAACTTTGATGGTTTATTTTGTACTTAAGCATCTGATGATCCAGGGACCTAAGGTATTGCTGAGGGATAATGAAGTTTAGTATACTAGGTTTAAAACAGAAGTTAAGGGATTTGAAATTTAATTCTTTGTGACATTTCATTTAGATTCTGTGTCACTGTATACCAGAAAAAAAAAATCCAGATTGATTTTTGAGCTAAAATATCTTCACGTATCACCTGTATTTTTATAGATTTTATTTTCTGATGGGGTATTTGTATTTAGTTTTACATAAAATAGTACTTGGAACTTCTTAGCATTCACTTTTTGTTCTTACCTATCAGTATAGCTATTAATTAGTCTTTCTGCCAGTTAAGAGGGTAATATATATAGCATTTAATTTTCAAAGCAAGTTTTATAAGATCTTTGTCATTTGTGTCTCACCATATTGCTAGTAGGTAGTCTAGAGCAAGGATTTTACCCTTATTTTTGGAAGTAAAACCTGAGGCCCAGTCATCTGTGTGGAACTTGCCTATAGTTACACAGAGATGCAACCACAACTTCAAGTGAGTTCATTTAACTTAAGTACCATCTCTTTTCTCTTATTAAAAAAACTCTTTGACAGTTCAGATTAGGGGTCATTAAAAAGAAATAAAAATAAAATTTTGAAACTATTAAGGTTCATCTATGGAATTCCTATTTATGGAATATGATCTTTGAAGAACCAGAATTTATTTTTAATAGTTTGAATATATTTTACAACTAGATTTCTAACTCTTTTATACTGAAAGTATATACATATAGTAATAATAAATAATTGAACTTTGGAAAATGATGCCTACTTCAAATACTCTGTGGTATTTTTCCCTCATTAGTGTTCTTGTGGCCTTAGCATTTACATTTTTGGTTTGATTTAGAAAACACAATGGCCATATACTCTCTTGCTATATCCTGAAGAAGTATGACAATCAGGTAGGTAGGCTGTTAAGAGATCTAACTATGTACATTCTCGTTCTATTACTTTCTCTTTGCCCTCCACACTCAGTGTTTCTTTGTTTTGCTTTGTCTTCCTATTCTTTCTTTTTCTTTCTGTTTCTCCCTTGATTTTTTTTTTTTTTTTTTTTTTACATTTGCCTCTAAGACAGGATCTGTTAGAGTTCCTAAATCTTTTATATAGAGTATTCAGGTTTAAAAGAGTGAAAATTCAGTATGAGTTGTTTGTTTTAGTAACTAAAGAGCACACTAGGGACTTTATATCTTGGAGTATTTGTGAGAGAAGAATGGATTTTTAGACAAAGTTGCATGGGACCTCTTTGGCATTTGTTACTAGAATTTCATACTTTTCGTTCATCATTAGATTCAGAAATTCTTGAACACTGATCATATATGAAGCTTCCATTTCATTGTGTGCTAGTCAGGTTTCTGTTCTCACCTTGTAAAGAAGTTATTTTGCACTTGAATCAAATTGAACATGAGAAAGGTAAGAAATTTCAGTTTTAGATACAGGACTGATGATGGGAATCTTTAGGTCATTTGTTGCTGAGAAGTTAGTGACAAGGGCTTTTGAATACTTAATCAGAACTAGTAGATTCCTTAAAATGCTTGTAGATAAAAATACATTTAACCCCTTTACTCAGTGTGAGAAGCCATTCTTCTTGATTCTTGATTTATACAGGCTCCAAATTGATTTATATTTAAGTAGAAATTGCTTTAGTCTTAGTTAATTTGCATCAGTAATAATACTTATATGAGGATTTTAAGTACTTTATTTCAGAATATTTATAATTTAAACCACCTACTCTAAAATTAAGAAATAAAGGTAATGGAACATATTTTAGGTAATTTCTCTCTGTCTTGCACCAGGAAAAAAACCCTCAATATGTCATTACTGGAGAATACATTATTGCTGACGTTTTTAATTCGTGGCATATGAAATATGCAGTTTTTTACTCATTCTGTATTTTTATTTTTTTACTTTCACACTGTTAAGGAAAAGACTTTTTTTTTTTTTAATGTGCTGGAAAAAATTATTTCAAAACATTTAAAATACATTTAAATTTTCTGTAGAACAGTTTTCATAGTTTTGTAAAAGTTTGATCTCCTGATTCTATAAAATAGAGCACAGTTGTTGTAAAGTGCATTATCTCCTTTTTCTGCATTTACAGATGAGAGTTTAATCATTTGAATTCAGATAGGATGATATTTAGAAGATATCCATTGAAATTATAGTATTTTATTATATATTTGCTTAGTATATGGGAGTCACTGACAGAATTATCTTATATAAATAACACAAAATCCATTTCAGTTGTTTGAGCTCCCAGGGTCTCATTAGTTGATTCTGATATGATAATAATTGTGCTATTTTATTTTTTAATTAAACTTTAAATCTATAATAAATAATCACCTGAATTATTTCAGGCTTTTTTTATTTGTACACATTTATGTAAATGCTTTTTGGTAGCAGTGATTTAGTCTTACCTGGGGAATTTGGTGGGTTCCTACTTCCCCTCCCCAGTGCGCACATATGATACTCAGATAGCTTAGATAACATTGTCTTGATCACTGTCAAATACGTCAAAGTACAGAATTTTGGAGTGACTGCATTTGAAATTCTTTAACTCAAATCACTGAAGGCTCCATTTAAAAATAATCCCTTGTCTTATTATTTTCCTTCATTTTTAATATCTTTTAGTGACAGTGATGAGGAAAAGAAAGCAAGAAGAGGCAGATCTCCCAAAGGTGAATTCAAAGATGAAGAGGAGACTGTGACGACAAAGCATATCCATATCACACAGGCCACCGAGACCACCACCACAAGACACAAGCGCACAGCAAACCCTTCCAAGACCATTGATCTCGGCGCAGCAGCGCATTACACAGGGGACAAAGCAAGTCCAGATCAGAATGCTTCAGCTCACACACCTCAGTCTTCACTTAAGGTGGGAACGGCACGAGGTTACACATTATACACAATTTTATTCTTAAAAAAGTACTTTTAGATTTATTGCATTAGCAGTCTCAGGCATTTCTAGGTAATCTTATTAATTATAGATCATCTGGCATATATTATTCAGTCATTAATAATAAGAAATCTCTTTGGAGGAAGAAACCTGTCCAGTTGCTGAATGATTATCTATGCACTTTCTGTGAAAAATAGTAATGACACTCTTGGTTCATTTGGGAAAAGTTGTGAATCAGAATGTAGTGCCTTTATTTCCTACTAGACACTACCACTGATACCAAGTGCCAGATTCATTAAGGAAAACATGGTAGTGTTTGGAAGTTGTAAGAAATGACAGTGTGTATATATGACAAGTTGATATATAGGGGAAATGCTCTTATTTAATACAGGGATGGTGCCTGTGATGGGAGGTTAATTTGCTTTGTGGTCAGTATTGATCAGTAGCAGCATTACTTCATGTACTGTCATCACTTTTTTTTTCCACCAAAGAAATGAAATCCACTTGCCAGATACCTGACTGCAAGCTAGACTTTTGGGCAGAAATCTGCCAAAGAGGGAGGTTTACCCCGAAAGGCTAAATAGTAGTTTTGTTACTGTACCCCTACTAGTGTTCTCCCAGTTTGTATCTTCTCATCAAATGTAGCCTACGGAAAATATTTTGCTAATGTATTCTGTGAATTGCAGGTGGCTCTAAAAATAAAGCTAGTCCTACTTAGTGGCAAGAACTGTGTCAACTTTTCCCAAATATTTTCTGGTGTTTCCCTCATATTGTCCTTTTTATAGATTTGATGAAAACCTCAAAATTCAAAATTATAACTAAACTTTAGTTGCAGTTAAAAGGGGGAAATGGCACTGTTATTTCGTTGTGGTCTTAGCTTCCCCCTGCTATGAATACAGTTAGTTTACTGATGACTGTCTAAGATTTGGTAGTCATAATTAAAACCCAAATACATGATGGTTGTCATATGGAGAATTCATTTAAGGTTGCATGAGGAAAATCATTCAACCTGTATATTTTTTTTAAACAATAAACTGAAACTTTTTTCATCTTAAAAGATTTTAAATATCAATTTGTTGTACAGCCTGAATGTATGTCACACCAAAAATATTTTATATTTGTAGTATAAGCTTTTTGACTTTCTTTTACTGCCGAACAGATGTTTTACTGCCGAACAGATGTTTTGAACTCTGAAGTTCTTGAAAAGTTACTCAACCACTTCAGATATCTTTGAATTTCAAGACCTTTTTGAACCACAGTATACAGTGTTTTAATCTTCAAACCTCAAATTAACATGCCTACTTAATTTACAGTGTGTCCCTGTTGCCAGCACTTTTGTTCTAATTTAGTATGTTTGTATTGAACATGTTGGACCTATGTATTCGAGTGTTTAGGACTATGGAGAAGAGAGAAATTACATTACAACTCTAGGCCCACAGTTTCATTTGGAAACTAAATATATATGTCAAGCTATATCAAACCAATATAGAATTATACTGACAAACATGATATACAAACAGTGTTGCTAAATTTCAGAGTCTTAAAATTTTAGAGTTGGATAGGATCTTGGCCTCCAATCCAGTAGATCTCAGACATTCTTACACATTGAAATTATCAAAGGAGCTTTGTAAGACATTACAGACCAGGATCCCACCCTGGGCAATTATGATTCAGCATATTGTGATGAAGCTGGGCATATATATGTATATGTAAATTTGTATGAGTATATATATATAAAATATATGTGTGTGTGTATGTGTGTATGCTTCTCAAATGATTCTGCATTAATATTTGCGTGGGATCTGGAAGGTATCTTTTTAGGTAGTGAAATACAGTAAGAAAAGAATTGAGAAAGTAACCCAGGAGTAGTGGACATGCCAAACTCATCTGATTTCCGAAAAGAAAGGAGTTAGGGGAAAGAGGAGTGTGGATAAGTTAGGAATAGAATTACTTAAAAATATCTCTTTAAAGGGATTCAAGTTCACTTTTCTTTTTTCAGTAAAGGAAATCTACCTTTATTCAGATAATTACAGGTTTTTGTGTCTAAGTTGAGAATTAGAGATGAGTAGAGCAGATTTTTTTTTAAATAGTAGAAATTTGTTTCCTAAGCTTATTAGTTCTGTGTGTGTTTCCAGACTTCAGTGCCTAGCAGCAAGTCATCTGGTGACCTTGTCGATCTGTTTGATGGCACCAGCCAATCAACAGGTAAGCTTCAACGTCGGCTTTTTGTTGGTTTCAGAGTAAATTTTTTTTAATGGTAAATAAAGAGATGGAATGAAAATTTTTAAAAAATTTTTCTTACAGTAGATTTACTCTTAAAGTGAAATTAATAAGCTTTAAGCATTTTTTAGGAGGAAATGTTTAATTGCCTAAAATAAGGAAAACGAGTACTTAAGTATTTGATAATTCAGTAATCTCTCAATTTCCTTAGAACTGAGTATTTGGGGGCCCTTTGCTTTCTCTATAAGTGAAATATACTGCTCTTCTCATTTCACTGTCTTTTCATATTCTCAAATTAACCATGCCTAGAGTTCATTTACACTTTTCATTCATTTATTCAGTAAACATTTATTGAACCAGACACTGGCCTGGGTGCTTGAACATTGATATAATGCTTAGTAAAGAGTCACAAATAGTTACAGACATACAGAGGAAAGGCACATTCTGTGAAAGTGTGTGACTACCTTACATATTTTAAGAGGGCTCTATATCAAAAGAATAATAGTCCATTCACCATGATTTTCTCACAGAGAAGTTCAATGATTTCTTCAATTTTATTTCTAATGTGTGGTAGTTTTTTTTTTTTTTTTAACTTATTCCCTATAAGTTGTTTTCAAGAAAATTGGTATTTTAGAGTTGCATTTGAGGATTGTGGAGTCATAATAAACTACTGTAAGTCAAAATAGCTTAATAAATAAAACTTTGTTTAAAGTTCATTTCACATTAAAATATAACTGGCAAGATAGGCATAGAAATAATGTCAAAGTAAATCTTGTTTCTAGTGTGTAATGATTTTTCAAAACTTATTTTAAAATTTACATTAGAGTTTAAGTGGACATTTATGATGAAAATTACTTCTCATTGATAGTTTACTACATGTGATTAATTTATTTTAATAATTTATAGTGGGATTATTTTCTCCCACTCCTTACCTACTACCATAAAATTAATTCTTAGATTGGGTGTTGACTTACTAGGGTGTCTGGTTCAAACCAATTTCTGAGATTCTTCAATTCCCAGTCTCTTTCTATAACTGTTCCTAAAATTATTCTTTAAACTCTATTGAACTGTCATGCCCAAAGTTACAGACAACCACATTAGTTGTTTAACAATTTATGTGCTGTCTTTTTGTATGCTGAAGATTTTAACTGTAGTATTAACTGGTAGTTAGCATGTAATCCTATAATAGAGACTTAGTGTCACAGAATATCAACTATTTTAGATTTCCTCGTATGAAATATTTAAGAGCCCCTTTGATGCATCTGTGGAAAGTTTCAATGGAGCAATCGGAGAAGAATTAACTAGGAGGGTCAGATGAGTGAATCTAACTTTTCCTTGGTGTTATCAGGATTGCTTTGAACAGAGAGAATTACTAAATACCAACATGCTTCCTTTGCTTGGCAAGAAACCTTTGAGTGGTTTTTCTTTTCCAGTGCTAACAGTAGATTGACTAATTAAATAGAAGTAGCAGTTAATATTAATACAGTAATTGAGACAAAGTCTGAATGAAATCTGAAATATTTCTTGTCTTAATTTTTTATTTTAATATTTTCTAAAAACCATCTCATAGTGGGTTGACAACCTAATTACTTTTTACAGTTCTCTTCTATTTGAAACAGTTTGTTTCACCAGTTTGTGCAGAACCCCCTCCATTCAGTAAGATGAATTTCATTACCATGAATTTCTATTTAAATATTTTTAGTAGTAAAACATTTTAAATTGAATTCAGCAGTAGAAAAAAAAATCGTATTTTAAATCTATAACACCTATATGTGAGAAAGTCTTAAAGAATCTACTATACTAGCATTGCTGTTTGGTATGCCATTTGGGTGTCATTTACCAGATGTGCCTATGTTTATAATGGTGCCATCATGCAAGTAATATGGGCATGAACTGTAAACCTAAGCAGATATGACTTCTGTACCACTCACCAGAAAAATGTCTCCTTGGAGAAAATGGATTTTCTTTTTTTATGTGTGGTTACATCCTTCTTGTTAGCATCTTTAGAAGTATTATGTGGTAAAATCATTGTGGAATATCAACCAAGTTTAAAAATACACATATGAAACCCATTTATCAAGATTTATTTGAGACTGTCTTGATAAATATCCCACTCTGGTGATGTTCTTTTAAGGTCTGTACTCAAATGATATTTTGATGACTTTATGTATAGTATATTTACTGTATTTAGAAAATAAGCCAATTACAAATATAATGCCAAGAATCATTCTGTTTCATTTTTTAGTATATCTTATCCTAAAAGTTTACGTTGTCTCCTTTGTCCCTTTTGTAATTAATGAATTTAGATCTTGATTAACATACTACTCTAAGTTATTTCTAGTACAATTAATGAGGTTGAAGAGAAAATGGAAAGACTTTACAAAGCTTGCAGTATGTTTTGAATTTAAAAAGTATATAAGATTAACATACATCAAATCAAAAATCTTCACTATATATACATTTGAACCTGTTGCTCTGTAGTTAGTTAGTTGAGGATACTTACATGGATATGAACTACCTTGTTATAGCCAAGTTACTGGTTGTTACAAACCAATTTAAATATTAGAATTCTATGGGAGTTGTCTCTAGTTTAAACCAAGTTTACTAAAAATAAAATGTTTTACCATATTCTGTTTTCACTAATTAAAAGTAATGTATGCTCATTTTAGAAATTTTATGGAAAAAAGTGATTCACTGTAACTGAGATAAAGTTAACTGTTAATAATTGGGGTGAATATTCTTATTTTATATATTCTATATAATCAAGTCAGTATATTTAAGCATTATCTTTCAAATCTTTTTCAGGCTTCTTAGATAAAGATTTTTATTATTACAATTTTTGTAATTTATTTTTCATTTAAAATCACATGACCATTCCTTAACGATAGTTGATATATGCAGACCTTTAATTCCCTTATAATCTTAACATTATCTAAATATGCTGTAATTTACTTGACTGGTCAGCATCTTATTTTTTGGACATTAGGTTTTGTTTCCAAACTTTTCTCTGTTATAAGAGTAGTGAAATGATATCTTTGAAAATATTGCATTTTGGTAAGGAGAAAAATATTTCATTTTGCCTGTGTTTGATGACTGAATTTGAAACTCTTCATGTTTTATATGCCACTTGTAACTTGTCTGTTCATTTCCTTTGTCCTTTTTTTTTTTTAATGGGGTTGTTTATCCTTATTTTTTTAAAAAACTTATTTATATTAGTTATTCATCATATATTCATAATTTTTTGCATTTTCATTTTGTATTTATTAAAATTCCTCTTGCAAAAGTTTTCATAATATAATCTAGATTAAATTCTTTGTTAAAGAAAATGTTCATTTGTAGTTAAAGCACTGTCTAGTTCAGCTATGTTTTTTCTGTTCACAGTATTGCTTTGGAAATACATGTTCCCAGCTGGTGACTGTAAATAACCTCCTTTTGCCCTGAAAAGGCAGATGGAAATGGTTCATTTATAATGACACCTCTCATGTGGGAATCTTGAAGGATAGCTCTTATTGTGAAATTTAGCAGTCTTCCCCATGCAGCAATTTTTGGTAGATTATTCTTATTTAAATTCCCTTAGATAGATGTTATCTAGAAAAATGCTTAAATATAGAAATTTTGTTAAATTTAAGCATTGGTATGCATAACATCACACATATAGGTATGGATAGTCCCTTCTCAGAGTGAGAAGCTTTTCTAAATGAAATAAGAGATTTTTAATTTCTGAGATAGTTTCCAAAGTTGAGGATCACATTATGTAAAACATAAGTAGAAACATAATCTGCAGTATTTCAAAAGATGGAGAAAACTTAAATCCCTTTCAAGGAAAGGTGGCTTCTATCTGTAAAATATTTATATGTGTGTTTCTACTCTTTCCCTTCCAGTGTTCTTAAATTAGTCATATTTGAAATTAAATTCCCTATAGTATGGTTGGAGAAAATAATATTTGCTGTAGACACATTATGACCAGAGTATAATTTTAGTTTAGGTGTTAGAAGGTAGAGCAGTAGAATAACTAAAACAGATTCTCACTTGAAATCTTAAATTCAGGATGTGACAAAGATAAAATATGTCACCAGTGTGAAGTTACGATTTCACATTATTCAGTGCTTTTCTTCACAGCATGAATTTTCTTTGTAGCCTGGACTGGATAAGATTTGAAAATCCCTGACTTATTTGGCATAATAAATTACATATTGACATCTATTCACTGCTTAGATGAAGAAAATGAAAATAATCCCCAGTTTTCTTTCTTTTAATAATCCCTTAATGCTATAATAAAAGATTATCTTTCTGTTACCTAACTGTATGTACTTGGATCATATGTGCTTGTTTATATAGTTTAAAAATATAGCTCACTGATCTTTTGTAACCATCATCTTTTATATATATTATGACATATGTACCTTTAGAGAGAAACCATTGTGATATTTATCTTTGGATAGAGCAAAAGTAGACATGTGAGCTGTAATTGTTGCTCAGAGTAGAGAACCTCGGCCTTCATGGAAGTTAGTTCATGGTGAATGGGTATATATGTGAATATGTGCATCTGTTATGAGGTGAAGAAATGAAGAATTCGTTAGACCTGCTGATAGTTGACTATAGTAAATGTGCACTAAAAAGAAATACCAAGTATACATGTATCAGAAACTGATTTGTTCCTTTTATTATTGCTGGCCATTTATTAAGAAGGGGCGATGGTTCTAGTTTAATTAACCCAGTTGAGTGTAGCAGATGGGGCAGAATGTCTTGCAGTGATAAGACAATTCAGAAATGGCACCAGATGTTGGAAGCTGTCCCTGGTGATGTTTGAGTGCAGCCCAGATGTTCCAGTCCCACCTGGCTAGTTTCTAAGCACTGCAGGCTAAGCAGCTGTGATGTAACCTATATAATGTTCACATAACACTAAAAGCACTATAATTGAACTGCCGCTCTAAATTTCTAAGGTTGTGACTCTTTTAAGAGGTGAAATCTGTAAGGACAAACAAAAAACAAGGACAGCTATTTAAGGTTTAAATCCATTGACTATTGCTATTTCCTTGGTAACTGAATTGAGAAGTGGAATATAAAATTTAACAATGTTACTGTTCAAATTATACATAAAAGTAAATATTCTTACTTAGGAAGTGTTTACAAGTGAAAATTTGTATGAGAATGTGATGTTATGCAAGCAGAGATTGACCTGTAGCCTTACGATATGAATCTCACCTCTTTAGAAACACCAGTCTGGAAGTAGCAAAAAGCTACTATTTTTTCAAATATTAAAAATGCAAGTATTTGCAATAGTAGGAGAGAAAAAGTCCACCTAAATCATTGCATTCATTTTTTTTCCTGTAGTTACTAAAACTGACTTCTATGCAGATCAACTTCAAGTTTGGTTTTTTCCTGTTTCTATTTTTTTTAATGTCAAGCTGCAGAAAATGGGTCACATTTTCTTTCTCTTTCTAGTTCTTTTTCTTTTTTCTTACTATACACTGAGAGAGAATTACAAGCATTGTGACATTTTACCCTAAAATACTTGAGTGTATGTCTCCTTACAACAAGGACATTTTCCATCATAATCATAATATAATGATCATACTTCTGGAATTTAACATTAAAACAGTATTACTGTATAATAGACCATATTCACATTTCCCTGGTATCTCAGTTACATCATTTCATGCATTTCATTTACTTGTCATGTTCCTTTAGGCTTCTTTAATCTGGAGTGGTCCCAGTCATTTTTGTCTTTTATGATGACATGTTCTGAAAAGTCTGGAGGGTTGTTTTGCAGAATGTCCCTCAGTTTGTATTTGTCTGATTTATTCCTCATGATTGGATTCTGGTTAAATATTTTGGGAAAGACTTTCTACATTGGTGATGATCTCTTTTTTTAGTCCCTTATATTAGAAGGCCTATGAGTACTATTTTCTCCAATTATTAGTGACATTAAGTTTGAGCACCTGACATTGTTTAAGATGGTATCCATCTAATTTCTGCATTGTAAAAATAGCTTCATCCCTTTTTATTTATAAATAATCTGTAGGGTGATGATTTGAGAATATCATCTTATTATCTTATTACCCAGAAACATGTTTCCCAGGTTTTAGCATCCATTGAAGATTCTTATAAAGGGTGTGATTAGCCAGATAAACTGTATGCCTACATCAGGTTTGTGAAGTGTAAGTAAGGGATAACTTTAATAACAGTTGTATCAATCAGTAGATACAGAGCTGAGGATGTTAAGAGAGTCAGTGATAGCTTAAAGGGAACATGGTGGCATAAAAAGCTAGATCAGCTAACTAGCTTTTATGATAGGTCTTGGGGTCTAATATATTGAGTAATTTTTGAGTACTGTGCTAAAATAGCTTCCTAATAAAACTACTATCAATTGTGCTGTGGTCCTAACAATTTTTCCCTCATATTTAATTTCTAGGAGGCTCAGCTGATTTATTTGGAGGATTTGCTGACTTTGGCTCAGCTGCTGCTTCAGGCAACTTCCCTTCCCAAGGTATGATATGATTTGACTGGCCAGAAATCTAGAGGCAGTGAAAAGGTTACCAAAACAGCTCTTCCCCACCCTATTCCCTATCTGCTTCTTTTGGCCATTTTTCTACTTGTAGTATTTGTAATTCCCAATTATCAAAGAATTTATTCACAAAGGTATTGTATTAGGCTAGTAACCTAAATGTGCCCAGTGAATTAATTTCATTGCAAACTACCCAGGTACACCTAAATAAAATTCTCCTCACTCATAAGTGACTCTTGTTTAGTTTTCTTTGGATGGAGGAAGTGGGTGGGGGTAGGTGGGCAGGAGTGTGAATAAATATAAATCTCATCTTAGCAAAAGAAACTATTAATGATTTTCTTGAATGAATTTCAGGGACATTGGAATTGGGCAGACTATTTTGCCAGAATTCATTTCTTTGAAATTTAGGTATCTTAAAAGAATTTTTATGAAAAATAACTGAACTTCATTTTGACATATCCTTGAATGTGAGGAAAATAAAACTTCCTCATTCCGTGTTAGTTAAATAAGAAATTTTGAAATACCCTAGATTTGCTGTGATCCATTCACAGTATTTGTAAAGATCAAATCATTATGTTGTCTACCTGAAACTAATAGAATGTTACATATCAATTAGACCCTCAATTTTTTTTTTATGGCAAAAAATTGCTAACATCTAAGCAAAATACAGACTTAAACATCGTGGATTGAGTGAAGGGCTTGTATTTTTCCCCTTTTTTATTAATATGTTTTATCTTACTGCCTCTGCCATATACTTTACTATATGAGCCTCCACCTTTCTAAGATTGGGAATAATGCTTCTTGTCATGGTTCTTTATAATGTCTATAGAAATGTGTAGAATGGAATCTTAAGTTCTTTATTAAGTGTCTCTTAGGTTGTAAAGTGTTGGTTCTAATGCTTGTTTTTTCTATAAAATCTGGTCAGTCTCAAATGTGAGAGATAAGAAAAAATTTACATATAAAAATCATAAACATGAGGTGAGGCAAGGAGAAAATATTTAACTTAGTCTTATTTTAAGTAGAGTTGTATGTCCCCATTATTAATTGGATTAAAATTTATATTTAGTAACAGCTACTTTAGGTTTGTGAGGATTTAGGAAGAAAGTTGCATAGTTTTTAATGTGAGTTGGGTTATTTAGACAACTCGTATAAATTCCAAGTATTTCCCAGAAATTAGCATTGTGGAGTGATGAAGTGCTTCATTTTAAAAGTGTTAACTATGACTTCTAAACGTTAATACCTTACTTTAGGCAAATCAAAGTGGAAAATAAGCATTGCCCCAGTTTTACAGGCTGCTTGTGTAATTCTCAAAAGTTTTTATGTATATAAAGTTGCCTACTATGCAAATAATTCAAATATGTTAATGTTGGTAAGTGATGCATCTCTTCATCTGTATGCATGTGATTAATATAACCTGATCACCATTACGCAAGGGGCTGAAACTGTTGCAACAATGATTAATCATTTCTGAACAATATATGCCTCACTAGAAATCTCTTCCTCTCATGATTAATCATTTCAGATAAAGTTTTCAGAAGGGGCAACACATTTTGCCCCAGTTTCCATTCTTACTCTGTTTTCTAGATCAGGCAGATAGAAAATCAGCATACAGTTTACCTTTATCCAGCAGTTGTCCTTAAATTAATTTAAATTGTTTAATATATAGAACTAATTGTAAAACTCTTAATTCAGTTGTTTTTGTAAAGAAGATCAAAGACATGTTTTAGCAAAACCCTGAGGTAATGAATATTAGCCCGGTTCTTACATTAAATTGTTGGTAGAGCTTGGGGTTTCTAATGAATTATTTTCTCTTTTGAGGGTGCTTATAATATAATATGGTAATAGAAGAATATAATTGTAAAAGACTTAATGTTATTGTTCTCTTTTGATATTCAGCATAATGAGGTACAGTATTGTAGTGGTTGCTTACCTTTTAGGCTAGACAAAATGTATTTCCAAGTTGTAAGTGAAGATAGAAAGCAAAGAAATGGTGTTAATTAACTTGGAACTGCATACTATTTGCTTTCAGATGACAGTTTACATGTAGCTCTTTCTTCACCTTTGCTTTTTTCAACTTCCATTAATTCATATGTATCTATTTGTCCCTTGAAGTAAGGTTTGTTTATTTTGTATAGACTAATTAAAAAAAATTTTTAAGTATAACTTGACTTTATTGTGTTCTAAATACTTAATATTGTATGCAGAATTTATAGAAGCTTGACTTAAACTTTTATATGGCATGCCTGAAGGAAAGAGTGACACTTGAGCTCACCTCTGTCTTTTCACAATTAATCCAAAATAACAATAACAAACCTTAAATGGCATTTACTATATATTAAGTTATTTAATCTTCTCAACTTAGATTTTTTAAAAAGTAAGGCACAGGGAGCCTGCCTGGCTGTCCAGTGGTTAAGACTCTACGCTTCCACTGCAGGGGGCACAGGTTCAATCCAAAGGTAAGGCACAGAGAAGATTAAGTAGGGCCACACAGCCAGTTAGGGACAGAGTCCATTCTCTTAAATATTTCAGTCTATTAATTAATCTATTAATTTTTATATTATTAAATACATTAAATTCTTAAACTTACTATACTTTGAAGCATAGTGATAGTTTTGTTCCTTTTTAAAAAAATATTAGCATGAGTTCCCCTCTTAAGACTTGCCCCACTTTTTAACTTAAATAGATTGAACAGGTTATGATATCATAGCTCCCTGTAGCCTCTGTATTGTAAGTGGAAGCATGGCCAAATGGGTGAGAACTTCTTACAGAAATTTACTAGTCCTACTCTTAATTTCGTTGCATTTTTGTTTCATTTTTTAATGAATTTGGGGTTTTATTTCCATGAGATGGTATAAATCATAGCTTGTTTCTCTTTGACCCTTTCCAAATAATGAATGAACCCTCCCAGCAAAGGGTTTAACCAGTTTAGAGTTTTGTTCTTGTTTTGAGGGGAGCTCAGGCTAGTTCGTATTAATTTAGGTAGAAACATAGTTGATATGCATGCTTAGGTTGAAGGAAAGTTTTGGTCTCAATCATTTCTTGGTGTCACCTTAGACCTGCCAATGGCCAGAGATGGATTTTACTTTATATGTGGAAGTTTTTATTTTTTCTTTGCCACCTTGTTAAGTAACACTCATGGAATATTCATGAGAAAAAATAATGTCCAGATGGAGATGGTACCTACAGATGCTAATTTGGATGGGCACAGATCAGCTCTAATTTGTTTCAGTTGGTAGATTGTTACATTTGTTCTGGGCATTTCAGAAACTTTTTTACCCTTATCGTCCTTTCTTTCTCAGTAACAGCAACAAGTGGGAATGGAGACTTTGGTGACTGGAGTGCCTTCAACCAAGCCCCGTCAGTCCCTGTTGCTGCCAGTGGCGAGCTCTTCGGCAGTGCCTCACAGCCAGCTGTAGAGCTTGTCAGTAGCTCACAACCAGCTTTAGGCCCACCTCCAGCTGCCTCAAATTCTTCAGACCTGTTTGATCTTATGGGCTCATCGCAGGCAACCATGACATCTTCCCAGAGCATGAATTTCTCCATGATGAGCACCAACACTGTAGGGCTGGGTTTGCCCATGTCAAGATCACAGGTAAGTGACCTGCCTCCCTTGGGAATGGTAATTTATCATTTTTGAGGTGCTGCGATTAATCTAATGGAAGATGAGCATAAAACAGAAAAATAAGTATGGGATACATAGATTACTTTTGTACATTGCATTTACCTTGTGCCCTTTCCCCTGGAATAGTCATTTGGTTCTCCAGGGCAAGGCTTTCTCACCCATCTGGCTGTCCATGCAAAGCCAAGTGTGATGCCTTGCACAGAGGAGGCATTTGCTGAAAATTTTATTGAACAAATAATTGGTATTTAATAGTTTAAAAAAGTTTTCAAGAAGAAGGAATAGAGATATATTGCTAATACAGAAGATTATTCTCTAAAATAATGTTCTTCCCTATTCTGGGCCTCCTATACATTATATAATGTTTAAATAGGCTTTCAGCTCTCATAAAGAAAAACAACTGAATAGAAACTTTTTAATCCACTTCTAAAAATTAAATCTAAATCACCTAATACTCATTTAGAATTAAAACAAGTGCATATTTGTCTGAGTTGTACCAGGAACTTGCTATTTTTGACTCAGGCTATTCAGAATATTTGCTTATGATGCTAATTATTCACTTGAATGTGTAGATTATCTTCTTCGGGGTGTTAGGATGAAGGAAGAGACGGAAGAAACAGAAAGGTGACTGATCTGTATAACAGATATTAGACCTACTATTAAAAACAAAGGACATAAAAGCCATACCAGTACCATTAAATTGAACTGAACAAGCCCAAGCTAGTTTATTCTTTATAGCGTTTCTGTCGTACGGTCTCATCATAAAGCCAGTCTACTTATTTACAATCTTAATTGCATTTGTGTTGTGATTCTTTGCATTGGTCCATTTTAAATTATTCCTCCTACTCCTATTTCTTTCCCTTTTTCTGTTCTTGTTGCAGTTATTCTGGTATAATTACCAAGTATCTCTGCTTCTTTTTCCTGCATTTCTCCTCCTGAATTGGTCTATATTATAGCAAGTTCCACTAGTGTTGCTCACTTTAAGCAATAGAAATGTACATGGAGCAAGGATATGTCAGTTGGGTTTTCTGGAGTATAATTTGCTGTCTTGATAGTTTTGCTTTTTTTTTTCTTTTAGCATGAGAACTTATACCCTGAATTTCATTTTGTAAGAATAAATTTCCACTTGTATATTTCCGTAAAGTTGTACCAACCTGAAGTTAGTAGTTACCTTGAGATGGTGGCTTCTAGACTTGGGGTGATGGGAGGATAATTGTTAATGTAAATATCTTAGTTTTCCCTCCAAATATGATTTGAACTTCAGGAGGAATATTATGGGAGGCTAGTGGTACAGGAAGGGTATTAAAGACCTTAATATAGAACATTAAAAGTTTCAGAAGTTTATTACAAAGTCTAGTATATATCAGTATTTGGAGTTACTGTGATTAAATTGCCATTTAATAATCTTTATAGATAAGATACTTAATTTTTAGAGCATTTTTCTATTTTCCAGCCTTTGCAAAATGTTAGCACAGTGCTGCAGAAGCCTAATCCTCTCTATAATCAGAATACAGATATGGTCCAGAAGTCAGTCAGCAAAACCCTGCCCTCTACTTGGTCTGACCCCAGTGTAAACATCAGCCTGGACAACTTACTACCTGGTATGCAGCCTTCCAAACCCCAGCAGCCATCACTCAATACCATGATTCAACAACAGAGTAAGTTACTGCAAGACATCCATTTGTTTTTGTACTTGTAATCCTTTGCCCTTATGCCAGGACTACTTCAAAACGTACTGAAGGCAGCCTTGTGTTCACGTTAAGATTTTTTTCACATAAGACCTGGTATCCCTCCTGCCACATTAAATTGCTTTGTATTCTGGTCTTAGCATGATAACACTTATTGTATGATGGTGAGTTTTGGGAGCCTGATCCCTAAAATAAAAAATACTGTTTTTAACATAGGCAGATATGTCAAGGAAACAAAACTCATCTGAACTCCATAATCCAGGGATAATCACCATTAATTGATATTTCTTCACATACCATCCTTGCTAACCGCATTTTTAATGCTTGAGAGCATTATGTCTATACTTTATTTCTTGGAGTTCTTGGAGTTCACATTCAACATTAAATTGTTGTTTTTTCTATGTTGAATATTCTTAAGAAAGTATGATTTTTGAATCTTTATAGTTATGCATCATATTACTGTGCAGTTCCTCTGTTTCCATTGTTTCCAGCTTTCTGCTATAAATAACTCCACAATTTTGTGTAAATCTTTGTACCTGTGATTTTTTTCCCTTAGTATGATGTTCTAAAAATAGAGCAAGTCAAAGGATAAAACCTTTTTAAAGGTTTTGATACACAATAGCTCTTGACAACCTGTTAGGTTGGATTCAATAATAGATTTTATAGGAATGATTTTAAATTACCTGATGTTTTCCCCTCAGGCCACTCTTACTGTTTCTACATCTTAGGGAAACCAGAGCTGACAGCCACTGAATATTTCTCAAGAGTAATCAATACAAGTTAATTGACAATTGACTTCTCTTATAAAATCACTATGAAGTAATTTTATTGGGGCTTACAAGTATTGATGGTCAGGAAGATTGTATTATTTTTCTGCTCTATAAATCTAAGAATTCAGAATGGTAAAGTTCTTTTGTCTCTCTTCTTCTGTTAGATATGCAACAGCCTATGAATATGATGACCCAAAGTTTCGGAGCTGTAAACCTCAGTTCTCCATCGAACATGCTTCCTGTCCGGCCTCAAACTAATCCTTTGATGGGGGGACCCATGCCTATGAGCATGCCCAATGTGATGACTGGCACCATGGGAATGGCCCCTCTTGGAAATAGTCCAGTGATGAACCAGAGCATGATGGGCATGAATATGAACATAGGGATGTCAACTACAGGGATGGGCCTGACAGGCACAATGGGAATGGGCATGCCCAACTTAGCCATGACTTCTGGAACTGTGCAACCCAAGCAAGATGCCTTTGCAAATTTCGCCAACTTTAGCAAATAAGAGAATATAAAGGAACAGATTGAGTGAAGGATTTTTAGCGGTGTAGATAGGTGATGTTGGGATGGAAAATGCTGATCAATTCCCCTTTCTTTTATCAGTTAATTAAAATAAACCTACATTAAGAGCCAAAAAGGCTGTTTTATAAAAGTGAAATGTCTAGTATTTTAGATGGCCAGGCAAGGGCACTTCAGATAAAGGCAGTCTGAAACATTTTTCCAGTGAGACCACAAATGGGGTAGTGAGATCGTTGAAAGCCTTTATAAATTGAAGAGCCAATTTTAATATCATAATATGTGGGAAGACTAGAATAGGGCTGAATAAACGTGTTTGAATCTCTAATTTTATACTTTTCTTTTCCTGAAGAACTTGATTTTTCTGTCCCTGAATCACCTTGTCACAATTGGGTCTGTTCCTTTTACTACCACTCTTGAGTCCATATATGAAATCATTAAAGTTGGATGATCAGTTTTTTATAAAAATATATATTTTTGTCCAAAAAAGGCATACATATGTGATTATGGCTAAATCAAAGGTAACTGGAATGTATATACTTTTGCTAATGTTCCAACAACACTGCTATTATACTATCCAAATTTTTATTGTAACAAAACCTCTAAACCTCTTTAAGCAATTGGTGACAGCTATGGGACTTTTCCCATTTCTTCTGCTATAATTATCCTGTGCAGAACTAGAAAAAATATTTTTTGGGGGACTGCTGTATGGTTTCCTTTAAAAGAAAAAAAACCTCCAGTATTTTTGTTTTTAGCAGTCATTATTTACACTTTGCAGTGATTAACTTGGCAAGACTTCCCTTCCATGTTTATCCCTGTAGCCACCGGAGTAATAGTCAGGAACAGTCAAAAGAGAAAAATATTTATTTTTTTTGGTGTCTTTTAAAAAAAATTGAAAAGGTGAAAATTCATTAAGACCTTAAATATAAATGTAAGAACTCAACAATGTTGGCTTTTAGATTTTATACAGTATTGTTTTGTTTTGGTTTTGAGTGTATATAATATGGCATTAGCAATATGGTTCCAATAGAGGCAAGTTAAATATCTATATTATTAAAGGAGACCTGTAGCAGTCAAAGATTTTATTGACTTAATGCAAATAAAGGAAATTAATTAAAATGTTTTTGTTTTCTTGCTGTAATTCTGCATTAAGCTCACATGAAAATCATGATTCTAGAATTTGGAATGCAAAATTGTTTCACCCTCAAGCTGGGAATATTTTTTAAAATGAATACTATAATATAGGTATCAAATTATTACCTCCCCACTTTGTGTTGAAATTTTTTAAATTAAATTGATGAAACTTTGTTTCCATTGTATTCATAAAGTTCTGTTATACATAACATTAAAATGTTCATTAAAATCAATGTTGAACTGCTTTTTCTTTCATTATGTTAGACATTTGAGACCGTTTGGGGAAAAAATAATTATAATTTGGGTAAAGTAATTTTTATAAATAATTTAAAATTATTTAATGACTTCTCTATTCCTTCCTATCAGACTCTACTGTTAGGAATTAAAAATGAAGCAGCAAAGATATCCTGACCCCCTCCATTTTTGCTAATGTTCCATCTACAACATTTCTAATTAGGCAGAAATTCATGTACTTCTGCTAAGCAGTAATGAAAAGTGATTCATTTGCTGAATAAGAGATGAGAGAGAGTGTAATTAGCTGACTGTGGTTTTTAATCTTTCAACAATTCAATGTGTTTAAATTAGTTTCAAAGAATAGGAGCTTTCAAGTGCTGTTACTTCAGAGCAATCAAACTGGGCTCGGGGAGCAGCATGGAGAGTATCTTCACCGATATTTGAAATCTGTAATCATGAATTTTTTCTTTAAATTGAAAAGTATAGCATCGCCTTCTCAAATATATACGGTCCTTAAAAGAAATAGTTTCTAAACTTTTGTGTTTAAAAAAATTTTTTTAATAAAACTGAGATTTAACTCAAGCATTTTCTGTACTATGGCTTCTTCCAGTGTTGTATTTCTGAAGACAGAAGTGAGCCCCTGCCTCAGTTATTACAGTGTCTCAACATACAGTTTGCTGTTTTACTAGTAGTTTTTGTTTCAGAGCCCATGAAAGGAAAACAAAACTTGCCTCATTGGGGTTCCATTCAGTTTTATTTATCAATTTATCTCTGAATATTTGCTTAATATTTGGGGGAGTGAAGGAGAATTCGTTCTTGTTCTTGGCAGTTTATGTACAGTTGTGTGACTCTCCACTGCCATTCCAGATTCACTTTTTTTCCCTCTTCAGATGTTTTTTACTTCTCTGTTATGATCTTCAGGAACCATAAATATATACAGTGTTCTTGTACAGTACTTTGGACGTTTACTTTTTTAAAATTTTAATAAATTGCCTGAATGATATCCATAATGATATTGGTTAGGGGCTAGTCACTAATAAATTGAGGCCTATAGTTACTTATATTTTGGAGGGAAGGGTTAATACTTTTTTTTCTCAAATATTTATGAAATAGTGAAATAAAGCTAACTGTCCTGAGCACAGAACATACCTTAACAGTGAATAGATTACTGAAACAAACTGGCTTTGTATGCTCTCCTAGGAGACAGCACTGCACTGTAGAAAGAGCATGGGCTTGGAAGCAGATCTAATCCTATTTCAGCCTCTCACTTTCTGTGTGACACTTTGATCAATTCATCTGACTTTTCTGGGCCCTCATAATTTTTTCTAAAATGAACTTAAAATTGGAAAGTGTTGGGTAATTAAATGGTGAGATCAGCAGCACTGACATATATACTGTAAATGTTTGTGAATGTTTTCTCTGCGTCTCGTTTTATTTAAATGTGCTTAAATGTCAGGAACTTCCTATGCGCCAGTCACTGTGCCAACCGTTTCACCACATGTCATTTTAACCTATATGTCAAACCCCAAAACTTCATATTCCTAGAATATGAGTGTAGTTAAGGAAACGGCATCCCAATCCAGTATTCTTGCCTAGAGAATGCCATGGACAGAGGAGCCTGGCAGGCTACAGTCCATGAGGTTACAAAGAGTCGGACACGACTGAGCAACTAACACTTCCACTTTTCAAGAAAGCATGAGAAGGACTTCCCCTGGTGGCACAGTGGATAGAATCTGCCTGCCAATGCTGGGGACAACAGTTCAGTCCCTGGCCTGGGAGGGTTCCACATGGCAGGGAGTGACTCGATTGGTACCGCACAGTTCCTGAGCCTGCACTCAAGCACAGAAGCTTCAACTACTGAGCCTCTGTGCTGCAGCTACGGAAACCCACGCTCGAGTCTGCTCAACGAGAAGCCACCTCAATGAAAAGCCGACATAGAACAACGAAGATCCAGTACAACCAAAAATAAAAACTAAAGCCTGAGAGACCAAGTTGATTTCCAACTGAGGATTTTCCTATTTGCCTGCATTTAATTCTTTTTAACAAGAAAATTGTAAATGAGCTGTTTTGTTAATGTATTGACTCCTACTTACTGCGTTAGTGCAGAGATCTCAACTTTTCTACTGACTATTTGCAGTTTTGTTGACTAAGATCTTACTATTCTTCGAACATCCAGAGAAGCAATCTGATATAAAGACTTAAAAAAAAAAAAGCATAGAAGAATTTTGTGTGTACTTTTACCTCATTATAACTTTAATTCTTAAGTGTCTTCCTCCTATTATAGTGGCAACCTTGCTAATGCACTGTTTTCATAGGCATAAGTAACTCCTGGCACCCTGTCACACTGCCCTGGCTTACCCCAGTACGTGGGGAATCAGCATGCAGCCAATTCAAATGTTTATAGTTTCCCAGGGACTTGGGATGGATGGATTTGAAAGTTCTGATTGGCAAACATAATTCAATAAAGTGTCATTACATTAAATAATGGAGTCCTGGACTATGGAACCTTACATTTCCATTTAATTTTCTTAACTGTCCATCTTGCATCTATTCTTTATATGCTCCAAGGACATTCTTTTTGAGATAAAAGTGCTTACAGTTGGTGTATAGAGTAGCTTGACCTCAGGACACCTTTAATGCCATTAATGAATGAAGACCCCAAAGAGCTTTTGTTTATGTGGGTCATATCTAATGATATTAACTATATTTGAAACAAAAACTGAGAAACTTAGGGACTTTGCTGGTGGCACAGTAAGAATCCACCTGCCAATGCAGGGGGCATGTGTTCCATCCCTGGTCTGGGAAGATCCCACATGCAATTAAGCCCCTGAGTCACAACTACTGAGCCTGTGCTCTAAAGCCCATGAGCCACAACTATGGAAGCCCGCATGCCCTAGAGCCCGCACAGCGCAACTACTGAGCCCACGTGCCGCAAAAGCCCTGCTCTGCAACAAGAGAAGCCAACAGTGAAAAGTCTGCGCACCTCAACAAAGAGTAGCTCCCAGGCACCAAGCTAGAGAAAGCCCACACGCAGCTATGAAGACCCAGCTGAGCCAAAAATAGATACAAATAAAATATTTCTTAAAAACATTTTTAAAAAACTGAGAAACCTTTAAAAATATAAATTGGTTTCACAGTAACAAGCCCATTATCTGCCAAATTACACTTTTATTGAAAAATATGTTTTTCAAAATAAAATTTGTGGGAAGAGTGGCATTGTTTTACATTTCTCTTTATTACCTGGCTTAATGAAACACAGCTGGATTCTCTTACCTGCTTCTGCATTCAGTCTGTTACGCCATGTTGATTTGGTGGAAATACACGAAAAAAATCCAGCTTCAGGAATAAGTGGTTGGAAAAGGTGGAACCTCATAGGTCCCCTGAATGGGTCTCAGGGCTTTCCAGTGGTCCTCTGGCCACACTTGGGAACTGCTGCTATCTGTTGAGAATTAATAGGTATTTCCTGGTAACTATGTATCCATTTACTTGATTTATTCTAAGGTGATCTGCTTGAGGTACAAAGAATTTAGTTTTGCCTTTCACTTTAGTCACAAGTAAAATGCATGTCATGAAATTGCTCTCTGGACCCTGAACATTAAAAATTGGTGACACCAGAGCTTT